AAGTGGGGAGGAAGTGGAGCTGAAATAAGAGCGTTAGTGCAGAAATGGGAGGATTCAAGATGGTAGCCTGGTTTCTAGTTTGAGTGACTGGATAAATAGTAAAGCCATGATGTGGATAATAAGGAGAAATGAGTTTGAGGAAAAAGCAGGAAGTTCACATTTGAACTTGTTTCATTTGAAGTACCTAAAATGTGCAGATTGACACCCATCTCTTTTAAAAAAGAGGCAAAAATATAGATTCTGGTATTATCAGAATGTAGTGGATAGGCAAGCGGGTAGGAATACCTGTACTGAGAGAAGGGAATCTGGCTGAAATAGGATCCTGGTATTATATGAACCTCAAAGAAACAAGCAGGGGAACTAGCAGAGAAAGAGAGAAAATAAAGACCAGAAAGGCAGCGGGATCTGTGTCACAAAAGAATGCGTTTTAGTGACAAGTTAGAGAGGAGTTTGGAGGTGACGCTTGCCCATCTTCACAGCATCTTCTCAGCATTGTTCAATCCACTGGCTTTGCCTTCCCCTCTTACCGCTGATGAAATGCTTCCTGCCTAGTGGAAGCCTCTCTTCTCCCAAGGTAAGGGTAATCTCACCCAGTAGCTTTTAGACACCTAAAAGCACTTTATCCAAGAGTTCTTCTTTTGGCAGCTCAATGTTCTTAATTATTGCTTACGATTTCAATCTTAAAAAAACAGTTGCAACCTTAACCTCTCCTCGCTCCTGACTCTCTTTATCTTGTGCTACTCTTTCCAAGAGTAGTGGTTACATCACCACTACTAATAACTGATCATCAACAATCTCACCCTCAAGCTATATTAGTTTGCTAGGGCTACTGTGCCGGAGTGCCACAGACCAAGTGGCTGAAACAGCAGAACTTCATTTTTTCACAGTTCTGAAAGCTGGAAGTCTGAGGTGAACAAGTCAGCAGAGCTGGCTCTGTCTGAAGGCCACAAGGAAAGAACAGCTCCAGGCCTCTCTCCGTGGCCTATAGTTGGCATCTTCTCTCTGTGTCTTCACATCGTCTTCCCTACCCTATCCTGTGTGCAAACCTCCTCTTATGAGGACACTGGTCATATTGTATTAGGACCAGCCCAATGACCTCATTTCAATGTATTTACATTTGTAAAGACCCTGTCAAAAAATAGGGTCACATTCTGAGGTATTTGGGGTTAGGACTTCAACATCTGAACGCTGAGGAAGACAGAATTCAGCCCATAAGAAAAACTATCCTGATTCTATCACCCCTGCACCAGGGAACATCTGCCTCACCTTAACCCTATTCTCCCCACTGCCTGGCCCCAGATTTACTCCCCACTCCTGCTCTATGTCTTATATAGAGTATATCAAAAAGCTGTCTTGCTTTCTGGTTCCATGATGGATTACGCTAATGGGAATCATTTTAGAAAATGGAGGGCAGGAGGAGAGTGAAATAAATTTGTTTCCCAGAATCCTCCCTGCCCAATAACGTGAGCCGTCTTGGAATCCCAGCAGAGGACCTGCTTCTTACAGCTCCGTTCTTCAGGTTGCCCCCTTCTCTTCACGGCCCTTCAAGCTTAGGGGTGGTAACCCATTGGGATTCTTAGGGTACTGCTCTACTGTGCCACGTGGGATGACTAAACTCTGACCTATATTTGTAAATAGTCTTTTTGCCAAACTTCCTCAGTTGCCCAGTTTGAACATTCCAACTGTTTTCTGTGAGGGGCCTGACTAATATAACCTCCTGTTTTTCATCTTATTTTCTAGTATTCACCTTCAAAAAACTTTCTGATTAAAACTTTTGGTCTGTTGATTCTACCACCTTTCACTCTCCCTCGTTACTTTTATGTCTTCATTTTCCTCCTTATTTGGTTTATATTTCGTCATTCATCTTTATAAGTATTCATTTGCTATCATCTTCAACTCTGTCCCACTGTGGCTGAGTGGCACTGCCTGGGCAAAAAGTCAACCCAGTTTAAATCAGCTTTTTCCCTATTCTATGCCTGCACCATGCAGGTGAATACTGCAGAAGGGAAGTATGCAGCTATGTGGAACTCATGAACCCCAACCAAAACCAAACCATGCCTTAATGCAGCCCGGTGGTCATACGATATGTTGCCAGTTCATTCGCTGTCCTGTTCTTCTAGATGTAACACTCTCCTCTCTTCTCAAGCAGACACAATCTTTCCTCCCTTGCTCATTCTCAGCTCATGACTTTGCTTCCTTTTTTCACCAAGAAACTTGTAGCAATCAGAAGAGCTCTTATTACTATGCATTTCCTTCTACTTCTCTTTGTGCCTAATTTTCTAATGTGTCTCCTGTTTCTGTGGAGGAATTACTTACCTAAACCCAACCCTTCCCTTTGTCCATGAGATCTGTTTCCCTCTTTCTTATTTTTGTTTTCTATTGACATGATTTGGATCTGTGTCCCCACTAAATCTCATGTTGAAATGTAATCCCCCATGTTGAAGGCGGGTCCTGGTGAGAGGTGATTGGATCATGGGGGCAGATTTCTCCCTTGGTATTGTTGCCACACTACTGAGTGAGTTCTTATGAGAGTGTGTAGCACCTTGCCCCAACAGCTCTTCCTTCTGCTCTGGCCATGTGAAACATCTTTCCCCCTTAGCCTCCTGCCACAGTTGGGAGTTCCCTGAGGGCTCCCAAGAAGCAGAAGCTGCCGTACTTCCTGTACAGCCTACAGAACTGTGAGCCAATGAAACTTCTTGTCTTTATAAATTACCCAGTCTCAGCATTTCTTTACAGCAGTGTGAGAATGAACTGATACATCTTTCTTTGATGGCATGACTGTTTCCTACCCTACTGAATCATTCCCATGAATATGCAAAGATGCAATTAGTTCTTCCATCTTTAAACAAACAAGAATCTTGTTCTGAATTCCTTTCCCCCTCCTGCTACTTCCCCATTTATCACTTTTTTTTTTTTTTTTTTTTTTTTTTTGATACAGAGTCTCGCTCTGTCTCCCAGGCTGGAGTACAGTGGCGTGATCTCAGCTCACTGAAGCCTCTGCCTCCCAGATTCAAGCAATTCTCCTAGCCTCCCATGTACCTGGAACTACAGGTGAGCGCCCCCAAGTCAGGCTAATTTTTGTATTTTTAGTAGAGACAGGTTTTCACCATGTTGGCTAGGCTGGTCTTGATCTCTTGACCTCACGATCTGCCTGCCTTGCTCTTCCAAAGTGCTTTGGATTACTGGCGTGAGTCACTGAACCTGACCTCACTCTTTCTTTAAAGCAAAAATTCTGGATAGAGTTTCTTATAGTTGCTATCCCCATTTCCTCCCTTTCCATTGCCTCCTGAACCCACGTCAGTTAGGTTTTGACCTTCTACCAATCCACAAAACATACTGTTATCAAGTCACGGGTAATCTCCATGTTACTAAATTCAGCTCTCAGCCATCATTATCCTTGACCCATCCCAGCATGTGGCACAGTGAGTATTTCTCTACCTGGAAATGCTTTCTTCCCTTGGCTTCCAAGACATCATACTGTCTCGGTTTTCTACCTACCTCTCTGGCTGTTCCTTCTCCTACTCCTTTGCTAACTCCTCTTCATTCCTCCAACCTTAGAATTTGGGAGTTCTGAACTCAATCATCGAACCATTTTCACTTCCGTGTATTCATCCCCCATACTCACCTAGTCACATAGCTTTGAATATCTCCTTTCTGGTGATTACTGTCAAATGTGTATCTCCAACCTTAACCTGAAGTCCAGACTCATTTGTCTAACTTTCTACTCTATCTTTCTACTAGGGTGTTTCATAAATACCTGAAACTTCACATTTCCACATTTGGGTTCTAATAGTCCCCCCAAAACTTCCTTCATCTGCAGTCTTCCTTATTGCAATTAATTACAATGCAATACTTCTAGCTGCTGAGGTCAGTAACCTTGCAGTCATCGTTAACCCCTCTCCCTCCACCCCATATGTAATCAGCAAATCCTGTTGGCTCCACAAGAAAAATAATTCCAGAGTTTACTATTTATAACAACTTCTGCTACTACCCTTGTGGTCCAGTACACATTCCACTTTACCTGGATTATTGCAAAAGCCTCTTAAATCTCTCTCTGCTTCTACCCTTGCAGCCCTTTAATCTTTATGCAGCCTATAATTCAGCAGGCAGTTATCCTTCCTATGTATAAAACAAACCATGCCACTCCTCTGCCCAAAATCCACTAATTTCTTCCCATCTCATTTATATAAACTCCAAAGCCCTTGTTCTGACCTACTTGCCAGCACAAACTCATCCCACTTTCTTCCCTCCCTACTACTGTGCCTCCCCCATTCGCCCCTTGAGACATCTGGCCTTCTGGCTTTGCCCAAACATGCCAGTGATGCACCCACTTCAGGGCCTTTGCACTGTTTCTCTCTGCTTCTATTTCCCCAGATAGCCAAACAACTCCCTCCCTCAGTTCCTTCACCTACGTAGTAAAAATCACTTTTCAATGAAGAGTTTCATAGACACTTAGCATTTCAGCCCCTTAACATTTATTTTCACTATTTCTTGCTTTATCTTTTCCTATTGCATTTCTACTATATATCAGTATAAATCTGGGATGATGGAAATACTATGAGAAGAAAAGGAAAATGGGAACAAGGAAGGAGGCAAGGGTAAGGAATAAAGGGATTTGTATGCCTTGTAATATTATCTTGATTATATCCTGAAGCCAAGGAGGAGCTGTAAAGGATTTTAATCAAAGAAGTGGCCTCGGCTGGGCACGGTGGCTCATGCTTTTAATCCCAGCGCTTTGGGAGGCAGAGGCCGGCAGATCCTGGCCAACATGGTGAAACCCCGTCTCTACTGAAAAAAAAAAATACAAAAATTAGCCGGATGTGGTGGTGTGTGCCTGTAGTCCCAGCTACTGGGGAGACTGAGGCAAAAGAATAGCGTGAACCTGGGAGGCGGAGGTTGCAGTGAGCTGTGATCGTGCCATTGCACTCCAGCCTGGGAGACAGAGTGAGGCTCTGTCTCAAAAAAAAAAAGTGGCCTAGGTTATGTTTTAGAAACAAATCATGAGCAGCAATGTGGAAGATAGAATAGGAAAGGTGAGGAGCTAGTAGGATGGAGACAAAACTGAGCACAGGGAGTATATTAGACAGGAAATGAGTGCCTAAGGAGAATGTCAGTGTGAGCCAAAGACAAGAGGCCTAAGATGAGCTATGCTCAGTACGCAGAATTCTATAAACACCCAATAAGATAGGATGTAGTACAAATAAAAAACTAAAATCACCCAGTATAAGTTGAAAGTGGTATAATAGTGTTTAGAAGATTAAAAATCTATACAAAGAAAGAAAAATTCAAGGCTCATATAAAAAATATAAGAAGAGTTCTGCTAAAGCATTACAAATTACAACGATAAGATACACCGGGAAGTCTGAATTGTAATCATTTTTATAGTACTGAAATGAGAAGGTAGTAAATCTTACATTTGCTCTGAATCACAGCTATAAATGTACAGAGAAAACTGATTAACTAATTTGGAATCCTCATTGCTCATGCTCAAATGTTGATGTAAATGACTAGATCAGGAACTCCAGGGAACGTGGGAAAAATTTCTCATGGAAAACCAGGGGGTGGTGTGAGATGAGGCACTGCTGAAAGAAAGGAGATACGAGAAGATTGAAACGTGCAGTCGTCGGCAAAGCCTGAGCCCCGTTCTCTCGCTCTCCTCCCCGGCAGCGTGAGCTTCACTACTGGCTCCACCTTCTCCACTAACTCTATCCAGGTGCCCAGCTATGGCGCCCGGCGGGTCGGCAGCGTGGCCAGCGTCTCTGCAGGTGCCGAAGGCTCTAGTTCCCTCATTTCCATGTCCGGCTCCACCAGCTTCGGGGCGGCATGGGGGCCTGGGGCCTGGCCGCGGGGATGGTCGGGGGGTCTGGTAGGAAGTGGGGGCATCCAGAACGAGAAGGAGACATGCAAAGCCTGAACGACCGCCTTGCATCCTACCTGGACAGAGTGAGGAGCCTGGAGACCGAGAATCAGAAGTTGGAGAGCAAAATCCGGGAGCACCTTACTTCAAGACTATCAAGGACCCGAGGGCTCAGATCTTCACACAAATACTGTGGACAATGCCTGCATCGTTCCGCAGGTTGAGAAAGCAATGCCCGTCTTGCTGCTGATGGCTTTAGAGTCATGTATGAGACAGAGCTGGCCACGTGCCAGTCTGTGGAGAGCAGCATCCGTGGGCTCCGCAAGGTCACTGATGACACCAATGTCACTCGGCTGCAGCTGGAGACAGAGATCAAGGCTCTCAACGAGGAGTTGGTCCTTATGAAGAAGAACCATGAAGAGGAAGTAAAAGGTCTACAAGCCCAGATTGCCAGTTCTGGGTTGACCATAGAGGTAGATGCCCCCAAATCTCAGGACCTCACCAAGATCATGGCAGACATCTGGGCCCAATATGATGAGCTGGCTCGGAAGAACCGAGAGGAGCTGGACAAGTACTGGTCTCAGCAGATTGAGGAGAACACCACAGTGCTCACCACGCAGTCCGCCGAGGTTGGAGCTGCTGAGATGACACTCACAGAGCTGAGACATACAGTCCAGTCCTTGGATATCGACCTGGAGAAATATGAAGGCCAGCTTGGAGCACAGCCTGAGGAGGTGGAGGCCTGCTATGCTCTGCAGATAGAGCGGCTCAACAAGATCCTGCTGTACCTGGAGTCAGAGCTGCCACAGACCCGGGCAGAGGGACAGCGCCAAGCCCAGGAGTACCCACATCAAGGTCAAGCTGGAGGCTGAGATCGCCACCTACTGCCACCTGCTGGAAGATGGCGAAGACTTCAATCTTGGTGATGCCCTGGACAGCAGCAACTCCATGCAAACTATCCGAAAGACCCGCTGGATGGTGGATGGCAAAGTGGTGTCTGAGACCAACGACACCAAAGTTCTGAGACACGAAGCCAGCAGAAGCAGGGGACACTTTGGGGAGCAGGAGGCCAATAAAAAATTCAGAGGTCAAAAAAAAAAAAAAGATTAAAACATGTAGAGAAAGGAATGCTTGATAGAGAACGCAAGGAGAGCGAGTTAGGAAAGATAAGCCCTGAGCTTTAAAACTGAAGTTTTCGGGCCGGGCGCGGTGGCTCAAGCCTGTAATCCCAGCACTTTGGGAGGCCGAGGCGGGTGGATCACGAGGTCAAGAGATCGAGACCATCCTGGTCAACATGGTGAAACCCC